TACCTACAATAACTGCACTGTGTAAACAATGAGTGACGTATACGCGCGAGAGATCACTTCCGGCGCTCGCGTAAACTACGCCAGAGACCGTACACACCCTACGCACCGGATGCCGTGCGCGCGCCCAAAGACAGTTGGACATAGTGGTGTATTAGAGGTAAAAAATGATATAAATACTGTTCGGTTTCTCGCACAAACTGATCGTTTCGTGTCTTAGGACATCAGTGTGTCGTCACGAGCCGCAGGGTTTAATTTGGATTTGTCTGTGCATGTTTTTTTTACTCTCATATATTTTGTTACCATTGCCATGCATTATACGACTGATAGACTGCAACGGCTGGAGTTAAAAATCTCTGTTTGTGTTCTACTGAAGAAACAAAGTCACCTACATCTTGGATGCCCTGGGGGTAAGCAGATAAACATCACATTTTCATTTTTGGGTGAACTATCCCTTTAAGGAGTGCTACTTGTGTGGCACAAATACTTGCTGAGTAGGTAAAATGTTCCAAAAAAGTCATTCAATTCCATTTAATTTAAAATGGACAAGGCAGGAACTGAGCTATTCTTGCAATTTCCACCAGCCTTTCAGGAAGGTTCGTTTTCACATGATGTAAAATACCCAGAGACATTACTGAACATGAATTACATGTTAAAAAAAAAAAAAAAAAGAGTGAGAATTATATAGTGAAGAATTATATAGTGACTTCTGATAATCTGGGATTTGAATATTGCACGTCTGCATATTCTATAAGGATTATCCTCTTCATCCACGGTCGAGAGGGTTTTTTTTCTGAATATGTCAACAGAATTGAGCAAAAAGCAAACAAAACATTCTCATAGTGAGCAAGAAAAGGCTGTGGTTAGTGCTATGAAAAGCAGTAAGACATGACATTAGCCTGGTTGCAAACACGCTCAGAGAGACAGCATATCAAGAGCGTTTTCTCCAACACTGCACTGTCAGGAAACAACTCCGCCAACTTCCAAGCAAACTACCTCAGGGCTTGAATTTCACATGCTCAGCACTCCTATCATTACTGATTTAAAAGAGTTACCGTTAGCTACACCACTGCAGAAAAAAAAAAAGACAAAACTAAATTGAAGATAGTACGGTAATAAGACGGTGATAATATTCCCTAAACTGAAAGGTCAGTCAAGTAGCTAAATAGCACATTTTACCCACCGGGAAGTGGGTTTACTGTGAGATTGAAGCATTAAAGATAAAATGACAAGGCATTCACATATTTAACTTCTGTAATGCTACATATTTTCAAATGCAATAGAATATCAAGTAAAAATAATCAGTGTTAGGGAAGCTAATATGAGCCTTTAGATTTCCAAGTTAATAATAATTTAAAGCGGTTAATCTGCATATAAATGCTAGTAGTAAAAGTAACATCGTCAACTGGAGCCATTTAAGTGGCAGTATGTTATAAGTATATCATACGATACGGCCTAGTTTATCTTTTGCAATTAGAATAGTATTTATGGGGCACAAAACAATAAGGGTGTCATAAAAACAAACAAAAAAAGTACATAAATTCATTTAAATACTCCAAGTCTGTTGTTTTAGAAAAATGTGCACTGATTAATGCTAGTAGTAAAAGTAACATCGTCAACTGGAGCCATTTAAGTGGCAGTATGTTATAAGTATATCATACGATACAGCCTAGTTTATCTTTTGCAATTAGAATAGTATTTATGGGGCACAAAACAATAAGGGTGTCATAAAAACAAACAAAAAAGTACATAAATTCATTTAAATACTCCAAGTCTGTTGTTTTAGAGAAATGTGCACTGATGAATAGTTCAAAGTAAAGGTCCGTTCATACCAAGATTAATAGCTATAATGATAACTATATTAGCGTTCACGCCAATACACAATAGCATTCTGATTACACTCTAAAAAATATAACTCAGTGTTGGGTAAAATATAGACAAATACAGCGACTTGTAGTTTTATTTATATCAACTATTGTTTAAGAATTACTTTATGGCTGGCTGAAAATGAGCCCAGAATAGGTTTTAAATAAAAAATTAGACACATAATTTCTAGAGGCATCAGCAATAATCAAAAGGTGAACATTTATTAATAAGCCATTTAAAATATATATACATTTATTATTTATTCAGTTTATTAAGAAATGTCCATTTATTGAACATATGAATAAATGTTAATTTCCAACCTATTTTGGGTTAATTTTAAGCAAGAAATATAGTCATTTTTAAGCAATAGTTGAGTTAAATAAAACGAAAAATAAAACATTTAACCCATTCGCTGGGTTTGTCCTTTTTTCACCCAGCGCTAGGTTGTTTTTAACCCAGCATTTTTGAGTGTATTATGTGTGCTGCAGTTTTGTCGTCTGCCGCTTTAAATGCTTGAGCTCTTTAAAGTTGGATGGATTCTGATTGGTTGTTCATCAGCTGGAGAAAAAAAAAACATTCTGAATGTGAATGATATTGTGTCGTCTGTGTCATATTGTTAAAGCTGTAGTGAGGAATTCACTATTCTCAAAGAATTTGAACGATTATTTAAACTTTATAGTTATCATCCTCGGTGTGAACGGACCTTTAGATCAGACACATTTTGTTGTAAAAGTAAATCAGGTTCGTTTTGCTTTGACGTTGCATTTGTCAGAATTAGATTGGATGAATTTCTATGGATATATGATTATTAATCAATGATATATGATTTTCTTATATTTTTTTAGATACATGGCCAGCACGTCTTTTGACGGCCTAAGCGGCTACGTCAATGTTCAGGAGGAATCAACCATCATCTCTGAAAGCCATCACTTCATCTGGAATCTCCAGCATGACCCAATAGGCAAGCCAATGTGGACGCGCCTCGGCAGCTGGAAGCAAGGCAGAGTGGTTATGGATTATGGAGTTTGGCCTAATAAGAGACAGTCTCAGACAGGAGTGGACTGGAGGCATTCCTCGCGTCTACACTTGCGCGTCGTCACCCTGGTAGAACATCCATTTGTCTTCACCCGAAACGTTGATGAAGAAGGCCTGTGCCCTGCTGGTCAGCTGTGCCTTGAGCCCCTAACAAATGACACAGCCTTATTGGAAAGCCTTTTTAAGGGTTTGCAAGGTGCCAACGACAGCGTCCCCATGGAGTTTAAAAAATGTTGTTATGGATATTGCATTGATCTTTTGGAGAAGCTGGCGGAGGACATGGGCTTTGACTTTGACCTCTACATCGTGGGAGATGGGAAATATGGAGCTTACAAGAATGGTCGCTGGACGGGGCTGGTCGGGGACCTCATGAGCGGAGCGGCACATCTGGCTGTCACTTCCTTTAGCATCAACTCAGCACGCAGTCAGGTCATCGACTTCACCAGCCCCTTCTTCTCCACCAGTCTGGGAATCCTCGTCAGGACTAGGGATACGGCCGCTCCCATCGGCGCCTTCATGTGGCCCCTGCACTGGAGTATGTGGCTGGGAATATTTGTGTCTTTACACGTGACGGCCGTGTTCCTGACCTTGTACGAGTGGAAAAGCCCATTCGGCATGACTCCGAAGGGAAGGAACAGGGACCGTGTCTTTTCTTTCTCCTCTGCGCTAAATGTTTGCTACGCAATCTTATTCGGCAGGACTGCCTCCATTAAGCCGCCAAAGTGTTGGACCGGCAGATTCCTCATGAACCTCTGGGCCATTTTCTGTTTGTTCTGTCTTTCCACATACACGGCTAATCTCGCCGCTGTCATGGTTGGTGAGAAAACCTACGAGGAACTCTCAGGTATTCATGATCCCAAGGTAAGAGCAACTTACGCTTATCATTTTCAAATTATGTCAAAGACTGGCAGGCTTAAGAGGTTACAAATATACTTCCTGGTTGATGAAACCGATCCTCTTGCTTTTCAAGCTCCACCATCCATCACAAGGTTTCCGCTTCGGAACTGTTCGGGAGAGCAGCGCTGAGGACTATGTGAAAAAAAGCTTCCCAGAGATGCATGAATACATGAGACGATATAATGTCCCTGCAACCCCTGATGGGATAGATCTTCTTAAGTAAGTCGTAATCGTTATTGCAAAGTGGCATCGATCATTGAAGCTGCACTAATTTACTGGATGCCCTCTACCATGTCCTTCTTAGATGGCTTTGGCCTTCTTGCAGTGTCGTGCAAATCCATGTGGTTTCACTGTATAAGACTGGGAATGAATTGACTTGACTAATGTTTAGACTGTGTTGAAAACACACATTCCTACTGATTGAATGATCTGGGTGCATGGCTGCAAAGCCCACATTTTACATGTAAAAAATATTCCTTATTACTAACTGCATTGCTGGAATGTCTGACAATACACGCAAAACATATATTCCTTCATTGCGAAGTATACATTCTAAATATCAAGCAATACATATATTAAAAATCATATATATTTTTAAATGCGAAATGTCAGATGTTTAAATATATTTTCATAAATATATTTAATCATTTATTTTCAATCATTTTCAGTTTGTCCAAAATATATTAAAAAAATATAGATTTTGCATTTACTCAATTAATTGTATTGCCCATTTTGTAATATAATTTGGCATTTAAATGTTTAAATATATTTATATATTTAATATAAATATATTTTGCATTTATTTGAAAAATATAATTTTTTTAAATAACAATCCATGTTGGGGAAGCAAGTAGGTCATTTCTGTTATGCCGTACCTCTTGAACCCTTAAAATAAAAATGAAAAGTAGGATTGTGTTGTAATGTAGGGAAGTAGTTATGACAAGGGCAGGGCACTTAAACCAAAAGATTTGTGAGCTAAAGTTGTTGCTGTTGCTTATTGATGGATGGACAGAATGGAAAATGTAGGACATGGAAAACAACGACAACGTGATCATAAAATAAAAAAATAAAATAAAATAAAATAAAATAAAATAAAATTTAGTTTTATTAATACTTATTTTTTAATAATTGTAGAAATGCACAAGCACATAAGCTAGACTCTCCAGATGTCACTTGAGTGTTCGACAGGCCACACTTAACTAAATTTAGAAGAGGTTTTCCTCCTTTCATATCCTCTGTTGCAAGTCTGAAACTCCTCTTTTGAGTTTCCACAACCTTCGGGACATGATTTGATGCAGTCCTCAAATCAGACCACATACTCCAAAATATTGCCACAGTGTATAATTCCTTCAAGCAGGGCAGAATGAATAGATTTCAGAAGTAGATGAAATTTGCAATATTTTCCTAAGAAGGTTAGCCAGGTCTCTCTTTTTAAATCAATCCAGCACGTGTTTTTGCAAGATAACATACATTTCGAATCGCATAGGATAAACAAGAATGTAACTGCTAGTAGTAAATTGGCCTTCTGTGTTCCCTTCTGCAAGCGTGTACATATCAAAACATCAAAACCAATTTTAAGTTCATATTGTGAATGTCTGAATGTCTGAATGCAGCAAATGTCATTATATAATAGCAAACTGTCTGATGCCATTCCAGGGATGATCCCCAAAAGCTGGATGCTTTTATAATGGACAAAGCACTTTTAGACTATGAAGTGTCTATTGATGCAGACTGCAAGACGCTGACAGTGGGAAAGCCTTTTGCGATTGAAGGTTAGTAAATGCATGCTTCTCACTTGTTATTGTTTCTAAGTTATGGAGTGAATTAACTACTGTGCACATGCTGATAAAAAAATTTATTTCCCATCCGTCCACAGGCTATGGTATTGGGCTCAAACAGAACTCTCCTCTCACCTCAAATATCTCTGAGCTGGTCAGTCAGTACAAATCTGATGGATTTATGGACATGCTGCATGATAAGTGGTATAAGGTGGTACCCTGCGGTAAAAGAAGCTTTGCAGTCACAGAGGTGAGTCTGATACAAACTCAAAAATCAGAGATGCTGTCATTTTGAAGATGTTCACTCAAGAATGTGGATCTATCTAAATAGCTTGATGACACATTTCCTGTCGAATCAGGAGCAGCAGATAAGTAGGGGCTGTCTGTTTTTTTAGGACTGAAAATAACAACTTTTTAAAATGAATTTGTGTTAAGGGGCCGTTCACACCGAATGCGTTTTCCCATTCCAGTGCACTACTTTTCCATTGTTTTTCTAGAGAGCTCTGAGTGAAGATGAACGTTTTCAGAGGATAATAGCTATGATTTGTTCCTCGTAGAAGACTTGGAATAGAGTGCACAAGTCATTCAAACTACTTCTGTGATGGTTTAATGGTGTTAAAGGGGTCATATGTTGCTGCTAAAAAGAACATTATTTTGTGTATTTGGTGTAATGAAATGTGTTTATGCGGTTTAAAGTTAAAATAAACATTATTTTCCACATACTGTACATTATTGTTTCTCCTCTATGCCCCGCCTTTTTTAAACGCGTCGATTTTTACAAAGCTCATTGGTCTGAAAAAGCGAGGTGTGCTCTGATTGGCCAGCTATCCAGTGCGTTGTGATTGGCCGAATACCTCAAGCGTGAGACGGAAATGTTACGCCCCTCACCATACTGTTGATGCCGTGTCCCGGCCGGAGCGACGAGACAAAAACATTGTTGCGACGAGACAAAAACACTCTATCCCGCTGAGGCCGGGATAGAGTGAGCTGAGGCCGGGCTAGAGTGAGCTGAGGCGGTGGGGTCGAGAACGGCGCGCCCGGCGGATCCGACGAATGAGCGGCAACCACATGTGACGGACCCCGGGCTGGAATACCTCAAGCGTGAGATGGAAATGTTACGCCCCTCACCATACTGTTGATGCCGTGTCCCGGCCGGAGTGACGAGACAAAAACATTAAAACCCATTACAAACGAGGCATTTGTTGCATCCAGTGGGGATATAATTACTGATTATAATGACTTGTACTGTCTTTTTACGCGTTGCGTTGC